TCACGCGCTGCCGATAGAGACACACCGCACGCCCACGAACCCACGAGTAAACTATGCTGGGATTTTCCTGTTAATCCGAAAAAAAACGGTCGGTCTTAATTCATCGATTCGAACGCGCACGGAAGCAGATGAAGAAGGAAATACGCGTAATAATGACAGATGGAAGAGGAACAGGCAATAAATGAAGAGGAGCGATAGAGACCCGATAAAACACGAATGAAAAAGGAAAAAAAGGGTTGGGGTATGGGGTGGGGTGGGAGAGGGGGAGAGGGGGTAGGGAAATGTTGTGGTGTCTTCAGCTAATTTGAAATTCAGATATGAAATGATAATAATTCCAATGGCGATGCGTGCCGGAAGAAGGCTGAGGGAGAGAGAGAAAGGGAGGGAGGGAGGAAGAGAGAGAGGAAGAAGAAGGAAAAGGAAAAAAGGGAGAGACGGTGGGAGAGAGAAAGAGAGATAGAGGGAGAGGGGAAGGAGGGAGATTGCCCTATGAACAATGGCGGTGGAGGGAGGATGAAAGGGGGGAGGAGGAGAGAGAATAGAAAATAGAGATGAAAATATAGAAAATAGAATGAAAAGGAAAAAAGGGAGAAAAGGTGAGAGAGAGAGGGGAGAGGGGAAGGAGGGAAATTGCCCTATGAACAATGGCGGTGGAGAGAGGTTGAAAGGGGGGGAGGAGGAGAGAAAATAGAAAATAGAGACGGTTTTGCAACACGTCATTTGTTCACTAATACCCCCCGTGCGAGCCGTTTCTGTAGGTTAGGGGGGAAAGGAAAACACCAAGAATAGGACATAAGAAAGCGGTGAGGATAAGAGATTACAGAGAGAAGATAGGAAGGAATAGATAAAATAAAATTAAAAAAAAAAAAAAAAAAAAAAACACACAGGAGACAGACAGAGACAAACAAGACATACAAAAAATGAATTTAAAAAAAGGGAAAACGAGCGAAAACGAGACAGACAAACAACCAGATATACAAAATATATATATATATATATATATATATATATATATATATATAAATTAAAATAAAAAGAAAAAGAAAAAAGGAAAACGAGATGAGGACAGAAACCTTGTTCCGTTAGTTGCGAATTGGAGGTCCGTTATATTCATGGGATAATGGCCGGATTAAAAGGCCCAGTGGCTAGTTAATACGTAGTTGCCGTAGTTTATTGAAATGCTCGTTGGTTTATAGAGGAGAGGAGAGAGGAGGGGGGGGGCGGGCGGGGGGGGGGGGGGGGGGGGGGGGGGGGGGGGGGGGGGGGGGGGGGGGGGGGGGGGGGGGGGGGGGGGGGGGGGGGGGGGGGGGGGGGGGGGGGGGGGGGGGGGGGGGGGGGGGGGGGGGGGGGGGGGGGGGGGGGGGGGGGGGGGGGGGGGGGGGGGGGGGGGGGGGGGGGGGGGGGGGGGGGGGGGGGGGGGGGGGGGGGGGGGGGGGGGGGGGGGGGGGGGGGGGGGGGGGGGGGGGGGGGGGGGGGGGGGGGGGGGGGGGGGGGGGGGGGGGGGGGGGGGGGGGGGGGGGGGGGGGGGGGGGGGGGGGGGGGGGGGGGGGGGGGGGGGGGGGGGGGGGGGGGGGGGGGGGGGGGGGGGGGGGGGGGGGGGGGGGGGGGGGGGGGGGGGGGGGGGGGGGGGGGGGGGGGGGGGTAGGGGGGGGGGGGGGGAGCGCCAAATCCCTCACGCAGCCCCGTCTCGTCCGGCGCCTCCTGATCGCGGTGTCACCTACCTGCCAGGTGAGAAAGGCGGGGGGAGGGGGAGGGGGTGAGATAGGGGGTAGGGGAAGAGATAGGGGGTAAGGGACGGCGTCGAGGGTAGTAGGGGAGAAAGGGGAGTAGGAGGGAACATAAGGGGGTAGCGTATAAGGGGACAGGTAAGGAATAGACGGTTCAGTATGGGACAAGGGGGGATGGCAGTAGATAGGATAGGGAGCTCAGCAGGGTGTAGGTAGGTAGGGGGGAGGGGGGGGGGGGGAAGGAGAGATCATACTAACGCTAGAACGATGAGCCTCGTTTGTCCGTGTAGTAGCGGAGAGTAGCAGTGGCTGTAGCGGATTTTCATAACTTAATTTGCATACGGCCGCTTTGTGTCTCTGAAAGTAAAGTATGTGTAAAGGGGGGAGGAGGGGGAAGGGGGAGAGGGGCTTCGGTGCCATTCTTCCGCGGCCATTGTCCACGTGCTGTGAAATGTATGCATGTTTTAGGATCTTCCACGGGGATAAAAAAAAAAAAAGGATGTGAAAGAATGAATCTCATCCACGCGGACAGTCGCAGTGCTCGTTCACATACTCCTAGGGTTTGTGTTGGTTCGAATACCTTCTCTCTCTCTTTTTTTAATGTCTTGCGGTTGCTTTTATTTTATTTCTATATTATTTATTTTTTTACAGCGCTTTTCTTTTCTTTATATTTCGTTTTTTTTTCTATATCTTCCCTCCACGTATTGGTCTCTCTCCAAGAAAGAATGAGAGGGAAGTAAAGAGGACAGGCTCTACCGTTACACCGCGTCTTCTAAAAATACGAGAGACTATGATGTTATTTCCTCTTCGCCTTGTTCAGTATTAATGCATCAGTCCCTCTTCCGTCATCATCTGTCTAGTGCTTTTATTCCCCTCCTCTCCCTACCCCTCCCTACCCCCCACCTCTCTCTCTCTCTTCCCTTCCCCTCCCCACCCTACTCTCTTCCCCTCCCTGCCTCCCCCTGTTTTGTTTTTTTTTTCAGATATACATACGCACATATATGTACACGCCCTCTCCTCGCTCCCCCCTCCTGCCTCCCTTTTTTATGATATACATGCGTACATACCTCGTATACGTACACACCCCTCGGTTCTTTGATGGATGTGCACATGCTCGAGACCAAAGTATCTTTTATTCTCTTATCGTTGTGTACATGACAGGGAGTGACATATGACTGTTTTGTTGTATTATTCACTTTTCCTTAATCCCCATCTCCCTCTTTCTTTCATTCTGTTTTGATTACTCCTTTCGTCACACTTTCCGCCTCTGTTCGTCATCTTGGGACAAAAGGTGAAAATGACCCTTTTTTCCACTTAAAAATTTCGACTCCTTCGTGACCTCAATTTGACCTGATTAAAGCTCTCGGGTTGACCTTAATCACCCATTCTGGTCTTAATGGACTCGTGCGACGTCATGCAGGGTCACCTCAGGTCGGTAGTGGTGAGGGGGGGGGGGGGGTCACAGGTCACTGGATTATGTCTGGCAGGTTGTATTAACTGCTGTTATTATGGACTAGCGATTTGTGGTAAGGAAGTGGGAAGAATTGACTTGTTAAGAAGTGCAATGGTTTTCTTTTTCGATTATCTGCCTTTAGATTTTTTTTTTCATTATTAATTCATGTTTTTTTTTTTTTCATCCGCAACAAAATGTGAATTATTCGTTTATTGATAGGAGGAACGAAAATAAAAAGAAAACGCGGATTGGCGTGGAATTTACGGCAACATCTCTCGGAATTCGACATTGATTATTAAACATTACCAATTCATAATTGTTTATTTATGTGGTCGACTGTGCAACATTCACATGCGGGAAGGCACTCATGAATATTATAACTGGTGTTATTGAATGAATTTAACATCTGGCAACATATCCTCCCTTCCCTCCCCTCCCCCCTCCTCCTCTCCCTCCCCCTTCCCCCAAAAAACTCTTGTCTTTCATTGGTTATTTGAAAGTCACGTGACCCCAAAGTGGCTCAGGTATTTCGATCTGTTTTTCTTACCTTGTTTTTCTTTCCATATAAAGTTTTATTTATTTATTTATTTTTTTAAAGATACTTCCACTCTATCGTTTGTTTAGTCATTTTAACGAGATTAGATTAACGTGATTACTTGTTACACTAGAAAATATATCGTATTTTTTAAAGTGATGTCCATGTTAAGGATTTTATTTTTTACTTTATCGCCTTTATCGACTAAAGGCTATCGGGTGCGGGGTAGGGGGGGGGGGAGAAGAGGGGCGTGGGGGGAAGGGGGGGAAGCTACACAGGTCAACACAGGTGAGTAACAACAACCTGAGGTCAGTGTTGGATTGACTGTTGTGGGTTGTGCTGTTGTGTTGTGGGGGTCTGTTTAATATTCATGTGTTTGCGTACCGAGCTCGCTGGATATCAGGAAGCAACGGGATAATATTTTAGTGGTTTATTTGACGTCTTTCTGTGTTGTGTTTGATTCGGTTGATGGCCGGTGTTGCTATGATGTACAGAAGGGTAAGTGAATTTGTAGGTTTTGTTCGCTTTACGACGATTTTAGTTCGTTTTATTCTCTATCTGATCTTTCCTTTGTTCGGATCAGGGATTTTTGTTTTAATTTTGTTTTTGTTTTTTAATAATTTTCGTTTTCGTCAACCATGTTTTTGCTCATATTTTATGTTTGTATATATGTATATATTTGTATGTATTATGTGTGTGTTTATATATATATATATATATATATATATATATATATATATATATATATATATATATATATATATATATATATATATATATATATACATACACATATGCGCACGTTTATTTCCGATCACACCGTGCGTGTATTTTCAGTTATTTATATTGTCAGCGGGTTTTGAATGACAAAAGAATACCACATGTGCATGATTCAGTTGCACACATTGTTTTTGCACATGAAATTTTATTGCTTCAGTACGCATTTGTTGAGTTTGATTTTATTATTTTATCCTTATTCCTATTCCTGTCTTTAATTAATTATGTTTCTTATTTTTTGTTTGCTGTTTTAGTTATTGTAATAATATTTTCTTCCATCACCTAAATATTTTTTTGCTATATATAGAATAAAAAGATTAATAATATTAGTCTTAGTTTTTAAGAAGAAAATAAAATCACCATCACTATTATTATTTGTCGCTTTTCATCACCGTCATCATCACTTATCATCGGCTCCATTATTTCTTATAATTTATTTTTTTTCTTCATTATTCCCTCCTTCTTATGATTTTCGCCTCATTATTTTGTTTGTTTGCCTTGTTTCAGGGAGGAGAGAGTTTCGACTTGTCACTCACCATTCCGGAGTCCAACAACCACGCGGCCTACATGAGTGACCAGGTGCGCCCTACCCCCCCTTCCCCCCTCCTTACCCCCTTCCCTTTAAGCTTCCTTCCTCCTAAGCTCTCTTTCCCCCTTTCACCTTTTTCTTAAGCCTCTTCCTTCATCCGTTCCATTAACTCCCTTAAGTCGTCTTTAAATCTAAGAGTCACCCCTTACACCCCCCTCCATTATTTTCTTTTACCCTCCCCCCCCCATTAGTTCCCTTTACCTCCCTTATTCCCTTTAATTCCCTTTACATCGGTTCCGTTGATCGCCCCCCACCCCGGGACCTCGATTTTTATGATTTCCCTTTTGAAAAGATCTTCAAGTAGTTGCATGTCTTTGTGTGTGTTTCGACCTTTGCTGTTTTTTTTGTTTTGATTTTTACGGTTTTTATTTTCATTTCTCTCGAGTTGTTGCATTTTCTTTGTGAGTGCGCGTTTCGCTTGCCCACCCCTCCCCCCCCACCACTCCTTACCCTTGCCTTTACCTCCACTCCTGCCTTGCCTTGCCTTGGCTTAACCCTTCCTCCCCCTCCCTTCCTCCCCCCTTTCTCTCCCCCCCCCCACACTTGTTATTTTTTTCCGATTTCCCCCTCCCCCCTTTTATTCTTCGTCGTTTTAGTAGTTGCATTTCGTGTTTTTTTTCTAATTTTTCCTTTATTAACTTTATTGTTTTATTTTGTTTGATTATTTATTTTAGTAATATCTCTGTTTATTATTTGTTTGTTGATTCTGTTTCCTTTATTGGAAAGTTTGTATTGGTTTCTGTAGATTTTTTTTCCTTTTTCTCTTTTTTTTTCTTGTTTCCATTTTTATTACCTTTTTTGGCTTTAGTTTTGTAATTTTGTTGCTATTATTTGCTTTATTTTATTGGTTCCCTATTATTATCATTGTTTTTTTTTTCGTTACTATTATAGGTATTTTTATTATACTTAGTGTTATTATTTTTTTGTGTTTGTATCTCGTGTTTTTCAATCTTGTTTTTCTTGATAGTATCAATTTCTTTTTCTTAAGTTCCATTTCGTTCATCTTTTTCTCGATTCTTTACCACTAGACTTCCATTTTTTTTAATTATCTTTTTATTTTTCCTCTTCTTCCTTTGTGTCCTCTCCTTTCTCCCTTCCCGCTTCCCTTTCCCTCCTTCCCTCCTGGTTCTTCGTGTGTGTGTGTGTGTTAATTCCGTTGTTTATTGGCCATTTCTCTTCTCCCTCATACGTTATTCGATTGATGTCTTTATTGGTGTCTGTGCTTGTTTATTTTTATTCTATTTTTTTTCTGTCTTCCTTTGATGAGTTATTGGTTTGTCTTATAATGAAATTCATGGCGTCTGTCCTAATTGGGTTCGTTATATAATCGTTCGAGTGAATTATGTAATATGTATGTGTGGGAGGGAGGGAGAGAGAGAGGGAGAGGGTGAAAAGGAAAGAGGAGAGGGAAAGAGACGAGGAAAGAGGAGAGGGAAAGAGACGAGGAAAGAGGAGAGGGGAAGAGACGAGGAAAGAGGAACGAGGGAGAAGGAGAAAGAGAAGAAAGAAGAAAAATTGTATATGTGTGTGTGTGTGTGTGTGTGTGTGTGTGTGTGAGAGAGTGAGTGAGTGAGAGAGAGAGAGAGAGAGAGAGAGAGAGAGAGAGAGAGAGAGAGAGAGAGAGCGAGAGAGACGGACCAAAATTCCCGCCAACGCCGCGAGGTAAATCTTGGCCGACTGTTACCCTCCAACGCGCAAATTAAGGCCCGGCGTTTTCATACTTAATTTGGGTAAATTTGGAGGACTAACACTGCTGTCCCGACGAATTAAGGGAATTAGAGCTTAACTCGCGGTTTTGGGGAGGGATGGGGGGGAAGGGAGGGAGGGAGGAGGGGGAGGGGGGCAGGAGGGAGGGTAGGAAGAGGAGGAGGAGGAGAGGGGAGGGAGGGGAGGGGGAGGAGGAGGGAGGGGGGGAGGAGGAGAAGGGAGGGGGGAGGAGGAGGAAGAGAGGGGTTATTAGCCAAGTAACAATTGTGGGTGGCTGGATTCGCCCCAGACGCCGGCGAGGTGAGCGAGACCCGGCAATTATCCCACCTGTAAACATTTATCTGGACGCAGTCACGTGGAAGGACGGCGGAATTCGGTGATTTGCGGGGACTGGGGGGCGATGATGGAAGGGATGGGGGAGGGAGGGAGGGGGGGGAGGGGGAAAGAGGAAGGAGGGGGAGAGAGCGGGGGGGGGGATAGGGGGTACAGAAGGAAGGATAGAGAGAGAAAGACAGACGGACACTCACTCACACGCTCACCCACCCACTCACCCACTCACTCACTCAAGAAAAAAAAAGAGACAAACAAACAGTCAGAACCAAAAAAAAAAAAAAAAAAAACACACGAAGGACTCCAGACAGAATTACTCAAGCTTTGGAAATAGGTCTTGACAACGCCTCCCCGAAAGGATGTTTTCTTAATGTGTCTAAGGTGAGCATCCATTATGTAACTCGAGAGACACAAGAGGCCACACTAGACCCTGGGATGAATGGCGTAATAGTA